CAATTAACATAAAATCCTTGTGCAGCACAGCAAGTTCCCCTGCCCAAGCTGGCTCTGCAGGGCACAGCACTGCTTGGTTTCCCTCTCTGCCTCCTCCCTGGCCCTGCAGTCACCATGACTGGCTGCACTCCCCCTGCCCCAGCTGTGCCTGGAGGCCAGTGCTCTGCTATCCCAGACACAAATGCTCCTCTTTTGCCCCAGAAGGAGACCCTGAAGTGATGTGCTCAGGACCTGCTGGCCCATCAGAACCCAACAGAGAAGGGGATGAAGTGGAAACTCAACACCTAGGGAAGGAAGAGAAAAGGAGAGGGCTCCCAGGCACAATGAGGCAAAGGTGTGAGCTACATCTTGCTGTACAAGCCTCCACCTGGAGCCCAAGAGCTCTGTCCCTGACAAGAAAGATCTGCTAAAGCAGGGCAGGGAGGAAGGCAAGAGCCCTGTGATCCTCACAGCAAACCCTGAGGCAGTCATGCTGAAGAAGGGGCTGGTTCTTGCTCAGAGCCAGCTCATCAGGGGCAGCAAGGATGTTTCACTGCAGACAATTTCAGGAGGAAGGAGCTCCTGCTGAATGTGAAAGTCACATGGCTCAGGAGCCAGGCCAGTGGGGTGGAGGTGAAACTGGGGAAGGCATCAAGGTATTGGAGTCCTTTCCCTGGGGAGGGAGCAGCCAGAAGTTCAGCCTGAGCACTGCACCAGGCTGTGCCACGAGGGAAAAAAGAACTCCCAAGAAGGTCTGCTTGCTGTCTGGAGACTGTTTTTCCATGTTGCAACCTCTCCAGGGTCTACTTCAGAAAATTCAGGTTTTTTTTATCACTACACTTGAGAAACAATACAGAGTGTGTGGGAAAGTCAGGCATGCTTCCCTGGCTTGGAAGTATTTTTCATACCAAGTATTCTCTCAAGCACTGGCTATTCAGACCTGGGTAAGGGCTGCCAGGTTGCTGAGCCAGCCTCCTGCTCTCACAGCCAACCTGTACAAGTCCTCTCTGGAACCTCATTCTTCAAGCTCCCCTTGAGCTCTTTAGTCCTCTACTCAGTGAGAACCTTCCACTAATTGTCAGCATGAAGGTGCTCAAGGCCAGTTTACACCAATCTGTTCCTGTACAAATATCACACTGAATTCAAACAGAGCTTTTCCCATGCTGGCACCTCTTTCCTCTGCTGGATTTGTTCTTCCTGAGCCGTTGTGCTGTAGTTTCAATAAGCTGTTTCTCTTGCCTCCAAGGGGATTTGCATCAGCCTTCCTACAGGAGAAGTCTTCAAGTCTGATGATTCCAAGGCAGTAGAAAGGAAAGCAAACAGCCCTGAATGTATCCTGGAGATCACACCTGGAGTACTGCACCCAGCCCTGGGGCCTCCAGCATGAGAGGGATGTGGGCATCTTGTAACAGTCCAGAGGAGCCCATGGAGGTGCCCCAAGGGCTGGAGCCCCTCTGCTCTGAGCCAGGCTGGCAGAGCTGGGGGTGCTCACCTGGAGAGGAGAAGCTCCAGGGACACCTCAGAGCCCCTGGCAGGGCCTGAAGGGGCTCCAGGAGAGCTGGAGAGGGACTGGGGACAAGGGATGGAGGGACAGGACACAGGGAATGGCTCCCACTGCCAGAGGGCAGGGATGGATGGGATATTGGGAATGAGGAATTGTTCCCTGTGAGGGTGGGCAGGCCCTGGCACAGGGTGCCCAGAGCAGCTGTGGCTGCCCCTGCATCCCTGGCAGTACCCAAGGCCAGGCTGGGCAGGGCTGGGAGCAGCCTGGGACAGTGGGAGGTGTCCCTGCCATGGCAGGGGTGGGATGGGATGGGCTTTAAGGTCCCTTCCAACCCAAACCACTCCATAATTCTAAATCACAGAACTCAGAAGCATTTCTGTGTTTCTCTGCCAAGACCACATAGGTTATGCTGTAGTTATGCTAAGGCCATGCCAGAAGAAGTCAGCTTCTGCATACTGAAAATAACTGGAGGTGTTGGAAGTCCATCCTTGCAGTCACATAGGCATTTGTTATTCAAAACAAACAGTCCTCTTGCTTTGGTTAACCATTCAAAGTATAAATTTGGATATTTTCTTCATCCACTGAAAGTTGTGGTGAGTTATTTAAGAGACATGGCATCTGTATTTCTGTTAATACAGGAACAGCACTGGAACATCACATGGGAGCCAACCACTTGTGGCTGAAAACAATCTGAGTTTTACTCCAAGCCACCTGGAGAAGACTGTACAAGGACTCCAGTCATTTTCAAGAGGCATTTTCTCTGTGCTCATCTCCTGGGCACTTCCAGATGGCCTGGAGAGACTTCCCTTAGGAATTACCTCTCCTCATCCTAGGCTCCTTAGGGCTGGTTTGCTGCTTTTAAGCATTGACTGCTTGGGCAGACCAGGATTAAGGCATCACAACAGCACTTTGGAAAAGGCATTTGTTGCACAAGCAGAGGGCAGTCTTGAGGCAAAGGTGTGAGCTACACCTTGCTGTGCAAGGGAGCTCCATTCCCCAGCATTCAGCAGTGAATTGCTGTCTACAGCTTCCTGAAAGCAGGTGGGAGTCAGGTGGGGATTGGTCTCTTCTCCCAGGTAACAAGTGACAGGGTGAGAAGAAGCAACCTCAAGTTGTGCTAGGGGAAGTTTAGATTGCATTTTGGGGTAATTTCTTCATTAAAAGTGTGGTCAGGCATTAGCACAGGCTGTTCAGTGCACTGGTGGAATCAACATCCCTGGAAATGTTAAAAAATCCACGCAGAATGTGGTGCTGAGAGACGTGGTTTAGCTGGGCCTTGGCAGTGCTGGGTTCCCGGTTTGCCTCGATGATCTCAGAGGGCTTTTTCAGCCTTAGTGATTCCATGGTTCTATAAAGCACTCCCACTAGAGGTCCCCCTGCCGGGCTGATGAGGTTCACTGTCTCTCAGACTCACTCCTTGGGAGTGAGATGAGGCAAGGATGAGGCAAACCTTGCTGATGTTCAGGTGAGAGTTCCTGCAGCAATACTGATAAATACAGCTGAAGAAGGTCAAGAGCTTCACTTTGAGGAAGGAAGAGAAAATGAATCCCTTTCAAGCCTGTGGGCAGCCAGGTACATGACACCTCGTGGCACCCAAGCGCAGTGTCCGGGGAGAACAGGCTGCAGGAATCACAGGGAGGTGCTGTGCCAGTGCCTCACAGCTCCAGGCAGGTTCCAGACAGACGTGTGTCCCTCCCCATCCAACTGGAGTGTTCTCATCACTGCCCATTTCAGCTCTGCCCTGTGCCCCAGTTTGCCCTGTGGCAGCAGCAGGTGCAAGGTCTGGTGTGTGGGCTCAGGCTCTGAGGGTGCAGTGTCTCTGCAGACACTTGCTCTGAGGAGCTCCAGGTCACACCAAGGGGAGTGACCACAGTGCAGTGGCTGCACACAGGGCTAAAAGCTCCCAGGTGACATTCCTGGACACAGCAGCTGCTGCTTTCCATTCCCTGTTTGATCTGACACAGCAAGGTCTTAGAAAGAGCCTGACTAAAGCTAAGTTCTGTGGTCACCAGAAAACCACACTGACCAGTTCTGTTCACCTCTAACTGGTGAGGGAAGCAACATGGCCTCAAGCCCACAGGTTCCATGAGCAGGTTGTGGATTCCTGATCCCTGGAAGGGCTCAAGGCCAGGCTGGATGGGGTTTGGAGCACACTGGTCTAGTGGAGGGTGTCCCTGCAGATGGGAGAGGGTTGGAATGAGATGAGCCTTAAGGTCCCTTCCAAAGCAAACAGTGATTATGTGATGGGGGTTACAGATTTTTCTGAAAAGTAGTAAAGGCTGAAAGAAAATGAAATGTAGATGCTGAAAGAAACTCAGACACAGGACTGAACATGTGAACAGGAGATCCTGCACTCTCCCACCGCAGAACTCCACCAGGAGCACCAGGAAATTGGCCTCTGCTTCAAAGGAGCTGCCTCAAAGCGTCCAGACCACCAGAGATGTGCACTAACATGAATAAACAGGACATGGGGAGAGCTCAACAGCACACTCCAGGTGAGGTGCTCCTGTGTCTGCAGCACAAGTGAATTTGCAGGAAGTCAGAGAAAGAGAACAACACAGATTCTGCCAGTTAGCAAAGCAAAGATCTACAGATACAAGGAGCAAAAAGCCAAAAGTGGTAAGAGCTTGAGTAGAAGTACAGTGTTTCCCAAAGGCTGGGAATCTCCCAGGATACTGGCCTGCTTAGGAGGCTGACAGACAGCTTCTGACTCCTAGTGCCTAACAAAAGAGGAATTTTCTCCAAAGCTTTACAACTTGAAAACAATAAGGAAAATAAAGGAATTCATTTAACTTAGGTAAACTTTATCCTGGAGGGACCCTGCCATGCTACTAAAAGGACAACAGCAGAACTGTCAGAAAGCACTATTAAACAGCAATTTATTAAATGCAATTTTCCAGAGGACCACAAGATTTTTGTGCTGGTGAGGATCTTGATGTTATTCTGGAGCAGGGCCCAAAGGAGAAACTCAAAATGTAACACTCTGCCTCATGTTTTGAGAAACACACATACTTTACGTTCCAGTTGAGCTGCTCTAGTTTCAAGTCTGCCTCAAACACACAAGTAGGAGCCACCCCTATTTTTGGAACTGACTCGAAAGCAACACAGACTGGAAGAACTCCACTGGGAAAGCCAATGCCATATTTTAAACAAATTTTAAAAACCTCAGAAAGTAGGAGCTCCCACATTAAAGCTGAGGCAGATCAGGAGTGAGAATTGCCTCATCCTCCCTGACGACCTCTCAGCCCTCCTCTGGAAATTAAGAGTGAATATTGTCTGCACAGACCTTTTCTGTAGGAGTTTAGCAAAGTCTGCCATTCACTCCCTTCTCTCCCACCACTTCATAAGAACAGAATCCCAGGCAACATGACAACACTGAGTGTCTCTTGTCATCTACAGAGATCCTTTTGGTGATCAGTGCATTCCTCTTCAGAGCTCTTTATTAAGGCAGGAAAGACTTACACATCCCAAAGTTCAAGCACATGTGTCCCATCAAAGCCCTGAGAGCAGCACTTACCTGGGCTCCCCTGGAGTAGGATCTGAAAATAGTGCAAAATCTTCCTTGCCCTGAGGTGTCCCTAAAACACAGAAAAGTTACAGCTATGAGAGGTGGAGAACTGACTCCCATACTGCACATCTCCTACTGGCCATAAAGAAATAAATAAAAATCAGGGTTGATCTTGTCAGATCTTTAGGACAGGCAGGGTACCCAAAGTCCTCTGCATGGTGGGTTCTTCTGGGGAAGAACTGGTGGATACATCTCCACCTTTGGGTACAGGTTGTCACTGTCATTGTGCTTCCCATGGAGAAGACACAAGCCCAAACCTTGGCTGCAGCACTACTGGATGATGTGTGAGGGTATAAGTCATTTTACTGCCTTGGGCAAAGGATTTTCTGCCTGGTTCTCTTCAGTCCTCAGGAGTTCAAAGTCAGAGTGAGTCTGCAGAGGTCTCCCAGCCATGGAGAACAGCCAACCTAAATATGAACACTCACAGGAGGAGAAACTGCCTTGCACTAGGCTTCACCTGTTTTTCCACTACATTTTAACCAAAATAAAGGGAATTCTCTTGGAATTCTCTTTATACCCAGATCCCTGACAGACCTGGTCTATATACCCTATAGAAAGCTGAGGATCAGGAGTGGGGTACAATGTTTCTAGACCACTGTGACAATAAGGGGCCTTTCAGTCACTGTAACTTGTCTTGTCTGGACAAGGTGCAAATAAGTGTGACAACACTGCCAGCACCTCACAGTGCCCTTCTGGAATAAGACACCAGAGTCCAGCACTCTGATTTAACCAGGATATACTGAAAAGTGTCAGGCTAATCAGAGACACATTATGGTGTTTCTCAAATCTATTCCCTGGGCCAGGCTAAAAGACACTTTAATGACCACTGAGAAGGCTGAGGAATCCCTCAGCCCCAGATTTGCAGCTCTAGGAAAAACATACTGACCTCATGTGCAGGACAGTCATTTTTTCAGAAGTAAAGCTTTATAGGATCCTGGACATCAATCTAACAGCCTGTGATTACACGTCCTTCTCCCTCAACAATCAAATACTGGGTAAGTAATGGTAAAAGATTACTCTAAGGCATCATCAATCAGTGTTATCAGCTTTTCAGTTTCTGTGCTGCTCTCCAGCTCAAGAATTACATTATAAAAAGATGGTTTCAAAAGGGAAACACTAAGTTACTACACACCTGGGGCTGAAATGTTAAAATAGGTATCTTACAAGAGAGGCAAGAATGCAAGTGACACATAAAAACATCGAGGCTAGAAGAGATAAATTAGCTGCTTCTGTTCTTTTTTGTAAGAAAAATGAGGACATTCAGCTTCAAAGAGCAGGGCTGTAATTAAACCACCAAACTACACACTGCCAGAGTCAGTCACTGAGGCTTAGAACATGGAGTTCATTCCTATTTAACAATTCACACATGTTACTAATATCCCTGTTACTTGACCCAAGCATTTCTAAGGGGATATTTAACTCCATGTTTTAGGACTGTGTCATTCCCTAATTCCCAGATCTGGGTGAAAACCAGGGTAGGGACAGACAACCTATCCTGTCCTTCCCTTCCTCTTTCATCTCCTCAGACTGCTGTGTCAGCTCCTCAGCAAGTCAGACAAAGCTCAGCCAGAAGGGCTCCAGCTGTCCCTCAGGTGCTGACAGATAAGGCAGGGGTTACCCCTCCCAGGCAGGGCTCTCCATCTGTGTCCCAGGCTCTGGGCACTCCAGTCAGTCCTGCTCCCCAGGGGCTCACCCCACCCTGACGCGGTGATGCCTCCTCACTGCTTGTTTGAATTTTCTACTCAAGGCATTGAGGAATATCCAGCTGCTGAGGGACCAAGGGTTTCACCTGTTTTATTTTTCTACTTTCCTTCTCTTGTTTCTGTTTCTCATCCTTGGATATCAGGAAAATCCAGTATTGCTTCCAAAACAATACCAGTCCCTCAGTGACTGAGAGCAGTACAGGAACATAGAATGATGGAATGGTTTGGTTGGAAGGAATGTTATACACCAACCAGCTCTACCCTGCCATGGCAGGGACACCTCCCACCATCCCAGGCTGCTCCCAGCCCTGCCCAGCCTGGCCTTGGGCACTGCCAGGGATCCAGGGGCAGCCACAGCTGCTCTGGGCACCCTGTGCCAGGGCCTGCCCACCCTCACAGGGAACAATTCCCAATTCCCAATATCCCATCCATCCCTGCCCTCTGGCAGTGGGAGCCATTCCCTGTGTCCTGTCCCTCCATCCCTTGTCCCCAGTCCCTCTGCAGCTCTCCTGGAGCCCCTTCAGGCCCTGGCAGGGGCTCTGAGCTCTCCCTGGTGCCTTCTCCTCTCCTTCAGCTCTCCCAGCCTGGCTCCAGAGCAGAGGGGCTCCAGCCCTTGGGGCACCTTCATGGCCTTCTCTGAACCTGTTCTAACATATCCATGTGCTTCTTGTGACAGGAGCTCTGGACAAGAGAACTACAGGTGGGGTCTCAAGTGCAGAGTAACAGTGAAAATGGTCAGTTATGACAGACAATGACTGAATTCAGACTATTCCAGCAAAGAACAGCATGGTGTTTGTGCTACTTGACTGACAGCAAGGAATCTTGTTTGCCAGAGTAACTTTCAGGGAAGAACAGCCAGGAAGTCCCACCACACCCCAGGGATGGTCCACGCTCTCCACAGCCTGGTACAGCATCCCCTGGCCCTGTGTCCCTGCTCACCTGGCCTGAGCTCCCAGGGTTTGGGTTACAGAGGCTCAGAACACTCACCAGAGTTCCAGCTTGACCCTTCTGCCGTCCAACAGGATAGTAGTGGTCTTGTAATCAATTCCTGAAAGAAAAGCAATGAAAAGCTGAGCAAACTCTGAGAACATCTTCGAACCTTGCTCTGCCCACATGGAGCTCTCATTTCATGTTTCCTAAAGGGATGTTTTGTCCTTGTTCTGCTGCCTCTTTGAGGGGAGCTACAGAGACCTGACAGGACCAGACTTCTGCTCCATGGCAAAGGCAGCTCTGTGGAGCTCTATGAAAACACACTCAGCCCCTACATTGCTTCTGACTTCTTCATTGTGGTTTTAAACCTCTCAGAACTTGAGCTGTAGGAGAAGTTGGATGGGGCTTAGAGCAACCTAGGAAGGTGTCCTTGACAATGGCACAGGGGATGGAACAAGGTGAGCTTCAGGGTTCCTTCTAACCCAAGTTACTCCATAATTCCCTGAGATTCAGTGATTTGTAGGATAATCCCACATGGCAGCGATAAATTAGACTTCTAGGGGGTGAACAGACAGAAACAATTTGGATACATCTCTGCTACATCAGCCTGCAGTCCCAGCATTTCTCAACCTCCACTGCCTGCAGCAGCAGGGCACTTTGGGAGAGCTTACAGGAAGGCTGTCCAAAGATTGCTGTCCCTCCCTCTGAGCAGCTCTGGGGTGTGGATCCCAGGGGGCAGGTAAGGCAGGACACACTCCCCCCTTGTGAAGGGCTGAGAAGCAGCACAGATATCTGCTTTCACTTTTCACAAAGCCCCAGCAATGGAGCAGCAGAAACCCCACAAACCACAACAACCAGCTGTGCTGGCATGCAACTCACCCACACAAGGGGTGTCCACTACCTTCAGATACATCAGAATTTTGTTAAAGCTGGGAGCCTGTCACACAGACAGACTGAAAAGTTGGAAAAGAAACAACTGCCCTTGCAAGCAACAGGCCCAACCCACATGGAACACAGCATTCCCTGAGCCCCAGGCACAGGGCAAGAGGCACAACTGCACCTCCCACCTCCTGCCCAAAGCTGAGGGGCACCAGGTGCCCAGGAAAAGCAGCTTCTCTGCAAGCTCTTGATAATGAGCTTCAAGTGTAGTGAAATTGCATAAACAAAGCAGAGAGCACCATTACTGCACACCCACTGAAGCATCAACTAATTTACAACCTTTTAATAAAGCAGAGTCACTTCACTCTAATTACATCAACTTCAGTTTTTCTTCTTGCCAACAGATATCAAACTTTGAATGTCTATTAAAACCCCACACTGTGTTATGTGTTATGACCTGCATTTCCCTTTTCCTGCAAGGAGAACACTGCCCTGACAACCAAACAGACAAGTTTGTCAATAAAGCAAATGGATTTTTCTGAGTCATCCGCAGGAGTTCCCTGTTAGTGAAAAACAAATTAGATTTCAGCCTTCATAGGGTGCTATAAAAAGCAATAAAGATAATTATCTTAAATTCCAACTATTTCCAGTGCTGCATCACAGAAAATAGGCAGTTTACATTTTATCTTCCTCCAGAGACAAATGAATGATCTGTATTTATTTCCAGGCAGACATAAATCTCCCTCATCCCCAGGGATGGTGAGGAGTAGTGGGAGTAAGGCTGCTCTGCTACCAGAAGGGAGCATCCAGACATCATCCCCTGCCAGCTCCTGAACCAGGACCTGCTGGGCTGTTAGGGAATAGGCTAATTCAGCCCATTGCTCTGATTCAGATGCAAAATCCCGACAGACTCTGGCCCCTCCTTAGGCACAAGAGCTCCCTGTCAGAAGTGAGTCCCAATCACCCCCAGTGCCAGCAGGGCACAGCTGGAGCAGCTGTGTGAAAGCACCATGGGTGGGAACAGGGACAGTTTTCAGGGCACCAAGGCCACATGCTTCCAAAAATGCCACTGCTGAGCTGAAACAAATCGCTTGACTACAGCTTTTAAAAGTGAGAGAGGATCAGCTAAACTGAGAAGAGAAGGAAACCTGTTAATGGAAATGTCAAATCCGCAGATGTCGTCATTGTGCTCCTCGCCCACTAACTGCCCAGCCTACATCCCCAGAGGAAGATGGGCTCCCTGTCCTCAAAACTCATGACTTGGTCACCAGAGAAATGCTTTAAATAATCCATGTTCATCTGAAATTACACCACATACTTTAATCCAGAGGGACATCAGTCTTTGGGTGTTACATATGCTGGCCCAAGGAGGTCACACACACTCCAGTTAAAAGCAAGCTGGTATCTGGTTATGGGCTGAGAAATGTGCTGCACTTTTAAATGTACAAACACCCAAACTGAGACTAAAGGTTTTGGAGCAAACTCTGCCTACAAGCTCATTAATGAAAGACAAAACTCTGCACAACTGCAATGTTTTGGAGAAAATTTCAGCTTCCTTTTCCATCAACACTCAGCGCATCGGGACAGCTCAAAGGCACTCCCTGGTTTTGGTCTGTTATTTTAGCTGGTTAGCACTGAGTATGCTGCAGTTCACAAGCACAGCTCTCCCATGGCTCTCCTGGTGAGAAAAAATCTGCATCAGTTTGGAGGTGCCCTCAAAATCATGGGACTCTGCACTGTGCTGAACACCAGTACTGGCCCCTTTCAGTCCCAGTAACCCACAACCATGTCCTGAGCTGCAGCTCAAGGCACTCCCCCATTTACAGCTCACAGGGAAGCTGAGCAGCCAAGCTCCTTTTCCCAGGCCCAGCCTACAGCTCAAGCTCAGCCCTGGCTCCCCCCTTGTCCCAGGGATCTGGGGACAGAGGGTCACAGCAGCCACTAGATGCCACCTCTGCTCTGAGGCTGCTGGCAGTGCATGGCCATGGCCATACCAGGGCTGCCCCTCCAGCTTTACATTTCAGGCAGCTCAGACACAAGGGAAGTTTTCAGAACTTCTTTTCTACAGGTGACAGGGCTTCCCCTACCTGAGCATCACCTCTGCTCACAGCCAAGCACAGCTGATTTCAGGATGGACACTGAGTGGCTCTGATGCCACTCCCCTGACAGAGAGGGACCAGCCCAACCACGGGCTGTCCTGCAGCACACACAGCTCCACATTGGGCTGCTCCTGCAGCACACACGGCCCCAGCACGGGCTGTCCTGCAGCACACACAGCCCAGAGATCCAGCCCTGCCCAGCCCTGCAGCAGCAGCGCTGGGGGAAAAGAAACCACTCTTGTTTAAAGCCTACTTTATATCAACTGATCTCTTTCTGGGCCGATATTACCATGATGCAACAAAGCAAATGAGACTCAGAGAACAAGTCTGGGCTGTTCTCTGGGATTTAGCATTCAGGCCGACTCCTGTGTTATTTTTCCAGCCCTGCTTTAGACTCCTGTTATGCTGATGCCATCCCAGCCCCATTCCTGCAGCAGAGAGATGACCTGGCACAGAGGGATCTGCTGTACCAATCCTGTACCTGCCAGCCTGGCACAGAAGGATCTGCTGTACCAATCCTGTACCTGCCAGCCTGGCACAGAGGGATCTGCTGTACCAAGGCTGTACCTGCCAGTCTGGCACAGAGGGATCTGCTGTACCAAGGCTGTACCTGCCAGCCTGGCACAGAGGGATCTGCTGTACCAAGGCTGACATCAGACACCCAATTCCCCTCCACGGAGCTGAGTTTCATGCTTCTGGGCAAGGTTCAGGGGAATCCCAAACCTTTCTTTCTTTTCCAGTTGCTCTAAGGAAAACCTAAGAAAGCAAGTCATTTTCCCATGGGAATCCACAGGATGTGTTATAGGAAACTCTGATCTCTTCCAAATTACTCATGCCAAGCACAACACACTTGGCATCAGTATCACCTGAAAACTCCACACCCAACCTGAGCTGACTTAAAGCTTTCACCCAAAAGATGACACTTGATGTGAACAGGGAAAGTAAAACCCCTCCAAGAGAAATGGTAACTCTTTCCCAACACTTGATACCCCTTTATATCAGGCTGTTCCCTCTCCCCTGGGAATTCAGGGCTGGGACACACGTGTATGTCTACCCTGCCAAGCTTCTGCTCTGCACCTGCATGAGCAGCAAAAACACAAAGGAGGAGGCAGCAGCCAAGCAGGTACATGGGTCTGGAAGTCACACTGGAAAAGGGAGAAACACAAGGGAGATGTGCATTTCATGCTCTCCCTTTAAAGAGGTTGATCTCTTAGGAAAATCGCTTTAAACAGCTCAAGTGAACAAAGCTCTGTAAATTTTTACTACTGAAACATGGTGGCCTCTGGGTTTTGTGTGGGTCTTTGTTTCAGAGAAGAGGAGACAAGTTTGCAGGTGTAAGTCATCAGGTGGCTCTGCCCTAACACCTGGGTGGAGGCCAGGAGGGCACCTCCCCTTAACAAGGCAGGTTTGAGCAAAACCCCAGAGCAGCAAGTGCCTCTTTCCTCCTTCAGCTTCCCAAGGTGATCCCACTGCCCTGGGGGAGGGAGATTCCAGCTCCCAGGGTAATGCCAGAGCCAACACTGCTGCTGTGGTCACTGGTCCACATCAAGTGTCCTCCTCCAAGGATGCTCCAATGATCCAGGGCCCAGCTAACACAGACATCACAAAGGTACAACCAGGGACGAAGGGCTCAGCCCACATTAACCAAGCCAGCAGCAGGATTTCCTGAGACCTTCCCCAAAAGCTGCCAGCACCATCTCCAGTGGGTATCTGCAGTGTGTCTAAGAAGAACATAATTTATTCATAAATCTGAGCCAGAAGACATTCCAGGTGATGCTCAAAAATCTCTTTCCAAAGGAAAAAAAATTAAAAGTAGTAAAAATAAATTAATGTACTCAAGAGAAACATTGATATAGTTTTAAGACTTAAAGCTTGCTTTCCTTCTGAGAGAGACTCCTTGTCACTTGCAGTCATTTCCAGTTTGTGTGAGTCAGATTGGTCAAAGATGCTTTTTCCACCTCATTTCTTACATGAATGTTTCTGCTTGTGGGAGCTTGGAATCCACCTCGCTGTTAGTCCACCCACAAAAAACCCCAGTGCACATTATTTTAACTTCATTAAAACTCAGTTCCCCCAGCTTGCAGACATGTGCTATATGATGCAACCTCAGCTTTTTTCCTCCTTTTAAAGATTAAATTTG